AAACTGTATTTTAACCAGCACTAGTAACAGTTTCTGCTCAGAATAGGTCCATGAAAATACTTAATGAATAAAACCTTAAGTCTGGTAAAATGAAATATTATTTAAAATATTTTAAATAGAACATATAATTCACATAGGCTGAAAAATTTGTATGAAAGCACATATAAATTTTTAATGGAGAAACCTCAGTCCTTTATAACAAGGATAAACCACATTATCATCTTTACCTTTTTTTTTTTTTTTTTTTTTGAGGTACGTGGGCCTCTCACCACTGTGGCCTCTCCTGTTGCGGAGCACAGACTTCAGACGCGCAGGCTCCACGGCATGTGGGATCTTCCCGGACCGGGGCACGAACCCGTGTCCCCTGCATCGGCAGACGGACTCTCAATCACTGCGCCACCAGGGAAGCCCCTATTCTTACCTTTTGAAATACTAAATATCCCATACTAAAGACAAAATACAAAGTAATCTATTAAACGTCCTAGATATATAAAAAAATTAAAATTTTCCCACGTGTCTTGAATCTGCTTGAAAGGAGACTGGAAGTTGCAACTATGTTCTAACCACAAGGCTGAACGAACCAAAAAATCAACAACTTTAAGAAAAGTAAGGTCACAGAGCCAACAATTTTCAGTTGAACCGATAATTGGAGAGACAGAGAGGCAGACGAAAAGAATCACAACTTACCGCAGTGGAAACTCATGAGTTGAAACTCCATCAGAACCTGGTCCCAGAGTAAAACAAGAAAAAAACCCTGAACTGTAATTAACATTGCTGGAGGCTCCGAGCAGACAAGTCCAAGAAGTAAAAACTCCAAGGGACCCAGTCATAGGTGGGCCTCTCCATGCAACTGTTTCACCTGCAGGAGCTCAACCAAGTTCTCATAGTAAATACTGGAGAAAAAGACTCTGGAGCTTCCAGCGGGGACAGAGAAAAAGGAACTATTTTGAAACACACCTGAGCATACTGTTCTTTTTAAAAAGGCCTGCCCACAGGTAAGACTATTTAACCATAGCCTTACCTACTGGGGTTTTGAACCTAACTGACTTGCTGGGAGGGAAACACCCAACAGCAGACCATACTAGTCATCCTGTCCCACAAAAGGAAGGGAGAATGAGAATTATATACGCAGTTCACAGTGCAGAGTTATAGGCTCACTAAAAGACTGAGACCCACTCATTGAACTCTGAACGCTTCCCGTCCCCCCACACCCCACCATCACATTACTAAACGCCTATTTACAGCAACTGCTTTTACCCAGTGCATCATGTCTATCACGAGAAAAATTACAAGGCACATCAAAGGCAGCAATTACAGTTGGAAGAGGCAGAGGAAACATCAGAATCAGACACGCCAGGGATGTTGGGATTATCAGACTATTCCTGCTAACGCCTGTCTCATTTAAAACACTGGGACCATCTTTCATGTTCCTGAGCAAAGGAAACTTCTTTCAAGGTCTGATCACACTGATACCAAGCATTTAATTCTTCTTTTCCAGAAAAATCACAGTAAAATACTTTAAAAATACAGAATTGCAAAAACATAGCTGTGGAAAACATAGCAAGGGGTCAACTTAGAAATAAGCTCTGAGCAAACTTCATCATGAACACAGGGGCTCTGTTGGAAGATTCCAAGTCAATCCAGCCCATCCTTCATCAACTGCAGTGACAATTAAGAAGGACCTGAGGGGGTTTCCCTGGTGGGCCAGTGGTTGAGAGTCCGCCTGCCGATGTAGGGAACGCGGGTTCGTGCCCCGGTCCGGGAAGATCCCACATGCCGTGGAGCGGCTGGGCCCGTGAGCCATGGCCGCTGAGCCTGCGCGTCCGGAGCCTGTGCTCTGCAATGGGAGAGGCCACAACAATGAGAGGCCCACGAACCACAAAAAAAAAAAAAAAAAAAAAAAAAAAGAGGGACCTGAGGGAAACATCTTCATGTCACCTCACAGCTCACGATTTTCACAGATCACATAAAAGGGAAGGCAATGTATTATTATTAAGCTAACTGGTTAAACTAAGTTTTAACTGTTAATAGAGAAGATCACTGACATCTTTCCAAGTCCTTATCAAAATAGTCAAATTATTTACTAGTTACCAAAGAACATTTCCAATATATAACTTAATGAGGAGAAAGCAGGCAGGCCTCGAATAAGCCTGAAACATTTTAAAAAGAAATATTTTGTGAAATTTTAAAAAAAAAATTATCTATTTTTGGCTGCGTTGGGTCTTTGTTGCTGCGCGCGGGCTTTCTCTAGTTGCGGCGAGCAGGGGCTTCTCATCGTGGTGGCTTCTCTCACTGCGGAGCACAGGCTCTAGGCATGCTGGCTTCAGTAGTTGTGGCTCGCGGGCTCTACAGCGCAGGCTTAGTAGTTGTAGCGCACGGGGCTTAGTTGCTCCGCGGCATGTGGAATCTTCCCAGACCGGGGATCGAACCCATGTCCCCTGCATTGGCAGGCGGATTCTTAACAACTGCGACACCAGGGAAGCCAGTGAATTATTTATAAATCTAAAAATTCTGGTGTCAAAGTTTAAAAAACTTGAGAATATATCATATTTAGAAAAGTAGTACACGAGTTGATTATAGAAGCCCACCAAAGCTTATTCCAGAAGTTAAGAATTATTTACAGGAAAGTTCAAATTGTACATACTAAAATTTATTCCAAGCTGTGTAAAGAAATGATAAAGAAAACGTAAATCCATCACAAAAAAAACAACACTTCCAATTGTTCCTTTACAAAGGTACCATGTGGTGACAGATTCAATCATTTCTTGCCCCACTTGTCCTCTCCCTACTCCTCTGCTCCACATCAAGAAAAGGGAAGGAGGTGACTCACAACTGAGTGAATCAAGTCACTGCCCCCTGGCTGAACATGGTGGGCAAATGTTATCTTCGCATACAAATAATTCCAAAATGCACAAGCCTTGCAGACAGCAGCTTTGCAATTCCCATCCTCATCTGCAAAATTTAAACAAAAAAAAAAAAAAATTTTTTTTTTTTTTGGCCGCACCGTGCCACATGCAGGATCTTAGTTCCCCAGCCAGGGATCGAACCTGTGCCCCCCGCAGTGGAAGCACGGAGACTTAACCACTGGACCACCAGGGAAACCCCAATTTAAACAAATTTTAAATGTATTAGATTCTAAAGACACAAATCAGTATTATCGTCCATATCCAAACAACTCACCACCCATCTGAATCCAGTTTCGCCTCTCTACCTGCACTACTAGGTATTTCCATTTCATTCTGTTTCTCTGTCTCCCTATTTCTTTCTCTGTCTCTATTCTTGTTCCCCTCCACTCTCCTGTTTCTTCCCTCCTCTCTATTTCTTCCCTCACACCTGTCCTGCTCTGCAACCGTTTCCCCTCTTGTTGCTCTTTCTGCCCAACCAGACTGCCCTCAATGTCCATTACTTCTGCTTCTTTCTTCCCCCACCCCTCCTCCCTCTCTGCCCTCTCGGTTACACCTTTTCTGATACAGGACAGAAGGGAACAGGCGCGACCTTTAGAAGAATGACACAGCTGTTGAGAATACGACAAAAACTGGTTATAACCGATCAGGCCCGACTTCCAGTAGACTCTGAGCCTCGTTATACGCTCACTGTGATACATTAGCTAAATGACACACCCACAGGCGCCATGACAGTTCTAAGGCCAACTATAAAAAGGTCCAAAAATGGGCAGTTGCCCAATTCCTGGAAATCTCCGCCTCTCCTCGAAATAGTTGGAATAATCCTCCCACTCATTAGACTATGAAATTACTCAGCCCCTAAAAACTAACCACGCCATAGTTTGGGGCCGCTCTCACCTTCTGAGACGGACTGCATTCTGTCTATGGAATGTGCATATCCCAAGGGCCTCCCGCCTTCTGAGGGCCTACATTCCGTCTATGGAGTGTGTATCTCTCTCAATAATCTACTTCTAACCTATCACTTTGCCTCTCGCTGAATTCCTTCTACGCTGAGATGTAAAGAACCTGAGCTTCATTAAGTCTTGAGACCACGTGTGCAATGTTAATTAAAAGACAGTGGGTTCGAGTCCCAACTGAGGTGTGTGGTTTCACTTCTCTCCCTGTTACACTCCCTTCCTCCCAACTCTCTAGCACCCCGTGGCGATGCTTCTTTCCCGCTCTCTCTCTCTCTCTCTTCCTCTGCTCTTCTAGTCACTAGTCCTCTTTCTCTCCCAGCACCAAGCTGCTCTGAAGGCCAAGGTTCCAACTCTTTTATTCTCTCCCCCAGTTCCATGTGTGAAGGGCCTCATCACTGTTACTCCCCCGCTACCGCTGATCCAGAGCCCCTCTCTCTATGTTGCTCTCCAATCCCTGGAGATCCGGCTTTTTAATTGACTTCTCTATTTTATTTACCTGCTACAATCAAGGCTTAATCACTTTCATCTTCCGTCTCTTTACAAGTCCTCGGCCACCCTCTATGTTCCCATCGGTTCTCCCCCATTCTTTTCTCCTTCTCAGTTTTTCTATTTCTCTCAGTCGCTCTGTCTCAGCTTCTTCTGTTTCCCCTCGCCCCCATATTTACGGTGATGGCGACTGAATAAGATGCCCGCGGACAAGAAGGGACCATTTTCCAATGGAGGTGGTGTCACACGGCTGGCCCAGGTCACCTCCCCCTACACGGGGTGAGGGGAAGGGCTGACTAGGAAGGGGAGGCCTGGGGAGCAGAAGGACCGGCCTGAGGAGACGCGAGGACAGAGGCGCTGGGAGGGAGGGAGGGAGGCCTCAGGAGAGGAGCGGGCTTTCCAGAACCCCAGGACCGGGGAGAGGACGCGGCCTGTCCGGGAGCGGGGCGGCCGGCGCTGCCCTCCAGGGGCCGAGGAGCGAGGCTGGGGGGCGCCAATCCTCGCGGAAGAAGCCTTTATAGGGGAAGGCGGAGGTAGTAAAGGATTTAAAGCAGGAAAATATCACGAATAGAGGTGTCTACCTGGACCGAAGGTAGAAAAGCCAAGGGCACCGGGACCCGCCTCAGAACGATTTCAAACCCAAAGGAAAACATACCCGACCTGTAACGGCGATGTCTGGGTTTACTGGGTCGGAGGGCCGGCTGCTGGGAGTTAAGGTCCATAGTGACTCCTAAGACCCTGAGGGTGGAGTCAGCGGGACCGCGCAGCACAGATTTACACTACAAACGAGAAACACTCTGGGCAGTGCCACCTCCAGTCCGCACTGTCCGCTTCCCGGTCCATAAAAAACTGCGCGCGCAAGAGTCTCCGGCGAGGCTTCCGGGGGCGGGGCCTGGGCGCCATCCTTCGAGGGGCGGGGCGAGGAGGGAGCGGAACCCAGTGCAGGGAACGCGGGCTGCGGGGCAGGTGATGCGGAGGGAGGGGTAGTTCCCCCTGCCTCGAAACTGCTCCTTTTAAGTGTCTGTCTGGAGAGGGAACTGCGAGGCGCAGGTTTAAGCTAGAAAAACAATGTTAACTCACGGCTCCCAGTGTGACCTTCGCTCCGCACTATTCGCTTCCCCGTCTGAAAGAAACTGCGCGTACGCATCCGGGCTACGGCCGGGACCTGAGCGGAGCACCACCAACAAGGGGCGGGACGTGAGGAGCCCAGCCTGCGCAGCGACTGCGAGAGGGAGGGGCGCGTACCGGCTAGGGGCGTGGTCTGCGCGTCTCTTAGTTTCCCTCCCGAGCTCTTTTCAAAGTTTAGACATGCTTGAGGGTCTTTGTGTCGTGTGAGGTAGCATTGCTTCCAGCTTAGTTTAAGTTATTGTCTTTAACAGTTTTACAGTAAAAGCTTACAGTTGTGTGGGCCACTTATTTTGGAAATTAAGATATTTTCTTTTTAACAAGCTGAAAACGGTTTAAGTCAGAACCTATTTCTTCCAGAGGGTTGAACGCCCGTCCTGAACTGAGAGAACTGGGATCTCAGTGAGGGATTGATGTGGGGTGGTGTTTGGAGCCAGGAACACTTCCTGCAGTTAGAATTAATTTAAGCAGTTTAAATAAACAGCAACTGGAGTTATCTCTGTAGGGATTACAAGCTAGAATATGAAATACAAAACTCTCCCTGGGTAGAATGGGCTCTTTAATACTAAAACGCTGTGAACAGCATTTTGTTTCTAGTCTCCATTCACCCAGGAGGCCAAATTCAACTGTGTTCAGTTCCAGAGGCTCTGATGGGGACAAGACCTGGGTGTGAGGAGTGGAGGGCTAAGCAGTAACAATTTAGGTCCCTAATCTTTGCTTTAAAAAAAAGAGGGGCTTCCCTGGTGGCGCAGTGGTTGAGAGTCCGCCTGCCGACGCAGGGGACACGGGTTCGTGCCCCAGTCCGGGAAGATCCCACATGCTGCGGAGCGGCTCCGCTAGGCCCATGATCCCTGGCCGCTGAGCCTGCGCGTCCGGAGCCTGTGCTCCGCAATGGGAGAGGCCACAACAGTGAGAGGCCCGTGTACCGCAAAAAATAATAATAATAAATTAAAAAGGGCAAAAGTTTTGTATGAACTGTATAAATTTGTCGACAAAAAAAAAATCAATAGTCAATCTAAGGAAGAAATGGAATATTTTATTTAAGCCAATCTGAGGATCATAACCCGGGAGACAGTCTCTCCGAGAGCTCTGAAGACTGTTCGGAAGAGGTACGGGTGAAGGCCAGTATATATGTGATTTTGGGGAAGAGATACAGTGCAATACAAACACACGTATTGGAAGAAGGTTACTGCTGTTGGTGAGTAACACCTGTCTTAGTTAATGGTTTTAGTGCTTTTTTAACTATAGGAAGATGCAAGAAACTGGGTTCATAAAATTGTCTCCTAAAAATATCTATCTGTGGGCCAGTTCTGCCAGTTTTCCCAGAGCAGAGAAGAGAGTGCCTCATGCTGATCTTAGCCCTGAATTCCTGTCAGGGTGGCTGTAGTTTAGTGACTGTGGTGGCTAATGTCTTGTTCCTTGTAGAACTGGATGGTGAGCAACATTCTCTATTTTACAACCCCTTCCCTTTCGGTCTTAATTTCATCCAAGTTTTGGGAGGCATTTCGTGACCAATTTGTCCCACGGTGCTAAGAATGCTCATTCCCAGGTCAGGTGAGGATTTCGTGGATGGGCTCCTCGATGTGCTGTAACTGGACTAAGCCCTGTTAACAGTAGACAAAAGCCTCTGGACCGCCTATCTTACTAGTCTGTTATGGTCCAGGTTCCCTCTTGTTGCTTCTTCCCATATCTAGAGTGACACTATTACAATCATTGATCTTATAGGACTATATTTGGTCAACTGTTTCAAGTCACATAGTCACTATTATTTTTATTGGAGGCTCGGTCACACATTTGGTAATGCAAGAAACAATAATCTTGTAAAATAGGCAGAATACAAGTAGTATAGCTATTATCATTAATAAGGTCCTAAGTAAGTATTTAAGTTACGAACTTCCACTAGGTGCAACCCATTATCTCCCAAGGTTGTCAGACCCAGTCTGTTCTGCACCAATTGTTATCTCTTTTTTTTAAACCATTTTTAAAAATTGAAGTATAGTTAATTTACAATGTTGTTAGTTTCAGGTGTACATCAAAGTGATTCAGTTATACACACACATATAACATATTTATATATTATATATATCCTAAAGTATATATATAATATATATTCTTTTTCAGATTCTTTTTCATTATAGGTTATTACAAGACACTGAATATACTTCCATGTGCTATGCAGTAGGTCCTTGTTGTTTATCTATATTACATATAGTAGTGTGTATATATTGATCCCAAACTCCTTATTCCCCCCACCCCCCCTTTCCCCTGTGGTAACCATGTTTGTTTTCTATGCCTGAGTCTATTTCTGTTTTGTAAATAAGTTCACTTATATCAATTTTTTTAGATTCCACATATAAGTGATATCATATATTTGTCTTTCTGTGTCTGACTTACTTCACTTAACATGATAATCTCTAGGTCTATCCATGTTGCTGCAAATGGCACTATTTCATTCTTTTTTATGGCCGAGTAATATTCCATTGTGTGTATATACCACAGTTTCTTAATCTATTCATCTGTCAATGGACACTCAGGTTGCTTCCATGTCTTGGCTATTGTAAATAGTGCTGCTATGAACATTAGGGTGCATGTATCTTTTTGAATTAGAGTTTTCTTCAGCTACATGCCCAGGAGCAGAATTGCAGGATCATATGGTAACTCTATTTTGAGTTTTTTAAGTAACTTCCATACTGTTCTCTCCATAGTGGCTGCTGCAACTTATATTGCCACTAACAGTGTAGGAGGGTTCCATTTTCTCCACACCCTCTCCCTCATTTATTATTTGTAGACTTTTTGATGATGGCCATTCTGACAAGTGTGAGGTGATACCTCATTGTAGTTTTGATTTGCATTTCTCTAATGATTAGTGATATTGAGCATCTTTTCATGTGCCGATTGGACATTTGTATGTCTTCTTTGAAGAAATGTCTCTCTTGATCTTCTGCCTATTTTTTGAACCAATTGTTATCTTTAAGGGAAATAATAGATTGACATTGTACATAAAGTTCACTAAAGATGTCTGCATGTATAACACAGGTGGTGAGTCACCATGACCCCTTACAGGAGTGAGAAAGGAATGTTATCTTTTAAGGAGTTATGTAGCTAGCACCAGAAGAATAAAAGTTGATCTTTAATGTTGAGCAGGTATTTTTCTTGTCTTGCCTTTAAAATATGAACTTTAATTTATCAAATTGCATTTTTAATATAATTGTTATTCTATTCCACACTTGAGATAAACTTGTTCACTTCATCATATACATATCAATAATATCTAAATATAATGTAATTTCAAATTCATTATACATTCATTCTGAAAGTACCTGGAAAGTTTATTTTTTATTTTAAAATTGGAAGGCATTTTAGCTCTTTGTTTTCTATTTCTGAATGTTCAGGTATGGATAACGAAGCTTGTAAAATATATAGTCTCCAGATGACGTTGGGATTATTTTGACCTAAAGAATAATCGATTTTGCATTATTTCTATGGATATTTAGTAGGGAGGTATATTCTCTTTAATATGAACACTAGAGAAAGTAAAACTAGATTACCTGAGGTCTGATAACTTCATTTCCACCCTCAACAATATTTAATGGTGTTCAGGAATTAGTAGAATAGAATGCAGTAAGCTAATGAGGGCCCATTTAGGAAAGAAGCTTGTATTTCTGACAAACACACATTGGTTCTATGCATATTTTTCCATTGTCTTCTCTAGAATAGTAATGGTGATACTTTCACAAGTAGGAGACTTGAGGAACAAAGCGGTTTGTCTGCCCCTTGCCTACATTTCCTCCCTCAAGTCTTCCAGCTTCCCATCTACTGTTCGGTTCAGACACCAGCTTCCTGCTGTTCTACCTTCTACTGTTGGTTTACACAATCTCAACAAACTCAATCAAGTCAGCATTTGAGGCTGTGAATATTTAAGCCAATGTCATTGCAAACAACCAAGAACTTTTCTCCATCGAGGGGTCTAGGCAGCCGGGAGGCCTCTCCTTTTTCTGCTGATTTTAGGCTCTTTAATTTACGAAATGGGTCTTGCTCAGCCTGAGGCAGCTACCCCTTGGTTGAGCTCACTGCGGTCCCGGTTGAACTTACACTTGCCCTTTGCGCTTGTTGAGGGTAAGGGGCATTGTCTGGATGGAGGACCCTTGGCTAGACCCATTTCTGCTGTTCCTGGTCAGCTCCTGCCTCACTCTTTCCAGGGCAAAGGACACCTGCACACATCTGTCCCCCAAAGTGAAGACCATGCCGGAGGGTGTACGAGTTTCACTCTGTGCCCTTCTCATTAATTTGCTGACTACATACGGAGTGTGTACTATAGCCCAGGCTTGTTTTGTCTGCATCAGGGGTAAAATGATAAGCCAGTGGGGTACTACCTTATCCAGGTTGTTTTTCCATAATGGAGACAAGCACACTGTCACTTACTTACAGCCGTGCAAGTCAGATGCCCCAAAGCAAAGGACGTGTGCACTCATTCTCCTGTGACCCTCTACTTCCTTGCCCTCCCTGGCATCCCCATCACATCCAGCTGTGCCTCCTCTGTGCTGTCCCCGTGTGGCTCATCGCAGCTGGAGAAAAGCACACCCCCAGATTGACTGGTCTCACTTCAGATTCCTGGCTCTGTTCCCTCACATTCCCTATGTGTCTGCTCCATGCCCTTCCTTTACAGGCCCTCATAAGTCCAATTCATCCTCTCCCGTCTTTTCTCTCAAAGGCCCTGTTTCTTCTTCATTGAGCCCCTGGAGCGAAGGGAAGAGATCTCCTCTAACTGGCTCACCCATCTGCCTCAGGGCCTGTGTTGTCTCCTCAGTACCAACTGTGAAGAGTCTGTCCCTGCTTCTGGCTGCGGCTGACCGTGCGATTGTGCCCTTGTTGCCAACTTCACTCTGTGTCAGGACGGCATGGCATCCTTCCTCCACTGCATCATGTATTTGACTTTTAGGGGGTTATTTTCATCAGCATACACAAATGGTGGTGTTGCCTGTCTTACACACAAGGGCCAACACACACACACACACACACACACACACACACACACACGCCAAAACCTTTTTATGCACTCTACCATCTTTAAAACAAAGCATTCTTAATTAACTACATTTTCCCACTACTAAGTACCTTTTTTCTATGCTCCATTTCAGAGCACAATATACTACAAACGTTTATGTTCTTTGTCTTCAATTCTTGCCTCTAGTTCTCCCGTGAGCCCCACCCAATCAAGCTTTCACATCCACCATCCACTGATATTTTCTTTACCAGAGTCACCAATGACCTCCTCTTCTCTCAATCCAATAATTTATTTCCCCTTCTCATCTGGGCATTTCCAGAACACATTGTTTATATTAGGACACCCTGTCACTCTATCATTATACATGTACACCTTCACTGTACTTTTTTTTTTTTTTTTTTTTTGCGGTACGTGGGCCTCTCACTTTTTTTGCCTCTCCCGTTGCGGAGCACAGGCTCCGGACGCGCAGGCTCAGCGGCCATGGCTCACGGGCCCAGCCGCTCTGCGGCATGTGGGATCTTCCCGGACCGGGGCACGAACCCGCGTCCCCTGCATCGGCAGGCGGACTCTCAACCACTGCGCCACCAGAAACCCCTTTATTGTACTTTTATTTTTATTTTTTTTTTTTTTTCATTGTACTTTTAAACATCGTACCTTATTGCTGAATTACCCTTATGGAATACAAGCTACTGGAAGCTAGGGCATTGATTTTGTTTCCTGCTATGTCATCAGTGATTAGAATCATTTTTCTTTTTCTTTTTTTCCAAAGGGGATGATGCTCTCTGTCACATTATTATTTAAAAAATTAAAAAAAAAATAATTCTTTTGGCTGTGCTGCACGGCATGTGGGATACTAGTTCCCTGAGCACGGATCAAACCCGCAGCCCCTGCATTTGAAGCACGGAGTCTTAACCACTGGACTGCCAGGGAAGTCCCAGAATCACTTCTTACTGATAGAATGAATGAATGCATTTTATCAGTGCAAAGAAGAAAGTTTCTGTAATGGGTACAATCACAGATCAGTAGGTCAAACGGTCAAGTAAAATATATTTGTGACACTGAATTCCTCACTTCCATAACTTTCCAACATAGTGTACTGAGCATCTGTCGTAAACGGTCACACTGCGTTTTGTTCACACGTCGTGAATTTTAGGCAACATGTGCTAAACGGATCCAACTCATCGGGGAAGTAATGTTTTCATGGAATTTTTCCAATCCACCAAATATTAATTTCAAGATTCCCTCTCCAATACTCCATTCTACTCCCAAAACAAAATAATAATCCTATTTGTCACGTAGAACAGGTTTGTGTTTTTGTTTTTGTAAGTGACCGACTGCCTAGAAAACAGTGAATGGAACAAGTAGGAGGTTTATCATTCTCGCCTAACGGCAAGTCCAGAGGGTGCCGTGGGCGGTGTGATAGGTCCTCTGCCCCTTCTACCGCCATGAGCACTTAAGTCTTCGGTGTCCTAATAGCAACCTGGCTGAGCGATGACGAAGAAGGGTGAAGGCTGAGGGGTAAAACCCTTTTCATTATTAGATTTTATCCTGTTTTCATGGAAACAATAATCCCAGACTTTTTTTCACCCAAATATTATTAGCTAGTTGTGTTAAATGGCCACCGTAATTAATAAGGGATTGGAATTTTGGAATTTCAGATTCCCACCTCAAAAACAGAGGAAGGTAAAGGAAAAAGATGTTCAAGAAAACATTTTTCAGATCAAAGTAAAATACCCCTTATTAATGATATTAAATGACAAGGTAGCCAAGGATAATTGTGGGAAGAGATATATCAACTGACTTTGTTCTAAGGCCCGAGAGTATAATATTCCATGCAACTCATGGCCAGACTATGAGGTGTTCCAAATGAGGCAAAAGTTATTAGAGGACTTAGTGTTGTCTAAATTACAGATTTATTTCCTTTCAGCTTCATCTCAATCTAAACAAACTAAAATAATTCTTCAGGGACTCCCCTGGTGGCGCAGTGGTTAAGAACCTGCCTGCCACTGCAGGGGACACAGGTTCGAGCCCTGGTCCGGGAAGCTCCCACATGCCACGGAGCAACTAAGCCCGTGCACCACAACTACTGAGTCTGCACTCTAGAGCCTGCGAACCACAACTACTGAGCCCGTGTGCCACAACTACTGAAGCCCGAGCGCCTAGAGCCTGTGCTCCGCAACAAGAGAAGCCACCGCAATGAGAAGCCCGCACACCACAACAAAGAGTAGACCCCACTCAGCACAACTAGAGAAAGCCTGCGTGCAACAACGAAGACCCAACGCAGCCAACAATAAATTAAAAAATAAAATAAATAAAAAAAAATAATTCTTCAAGCTTTAATACAGATATTCTGATTCTAGTTTAGAATATAGTTTAATGTCATCTCTAAATGTATTTTCATATTGAACTATAACTTAATAGAAATATAACTGTTATATCATAACTCAGTGATGTTCAGAATTGGGAAAGCTACAATAAATATTTCCCATGAAACAGCAGAGATGTCAACAGGATTTCCCTGGAAATGGCAAACATACTCAATTGAGGGTGAACTTAAAATGTTATTTTAAAGTTGTGTTTGTTCTGAAAGACATGAAATAATTCTTACATTATACTTCTCAATTATATTTTTCACTTTTATTCATTTTAATTTCCACATATAGCTGCATGGTAATTACACCAACATAATGACTTTCTTCACTCTTTTAATTGCTCCACATCAAGAGCTATGCGTTCCCCTAATTTCTCAGCCACTGTGCAGCTAGGCAAGACCGTGAGAACAGTTTCGCCAAATAGGGTGTGAGTGGAAGTAACACATTACTCATCTGAATGACCAAATCTATATGTCATAAATCACAATATCACAATCAGAGCTTCCTCTTATACAAATATACCTGAGAGAAGGGAAAACACATATCCACAAAGACTTCTTGTAAAAGATGTCCATAGAAGCATTTTTCTTAACAGCCAAAACGTGTAAAGAACCCCTCCAATGAGTGACGACTGGGTAATCAAACTGTGGATATTACTGCTCAGCAATAAAAAGTTATGAGGCACTAATAAATGTTACAATATGGATGACCCTTGTAGAGAGTAAACTAACTGAAAGAAGGGAGAAATAAGGCCACGTTATATGACTTAATTTATATGAAATGCCCCAAAGAGCCACATTCATGCAGACAGAAGGTAACTTAATGTTTCCTTGTGGCTGGGGATGGAATATGGAATAACTGCTAATGTGTGCAGGTTTGTTTGTTTTTTTTAGAGAGTAGTGATGAATGATGAAAATACTGTGGTTGGACATTGTAAATATACAAGTCCTACCATACTGTGCACTTAAAATGTGTGAATTTTATCGTACGCAAATTATACCTCAACAAAACAAACATAATCTAGTATCTCCGTATCAAACTCAGGAAAGAGATCTGCTCTATTATACTAACCATGGCCTACAAGGTGTTGGGGATACGAGTTCCAGTTTCCATTGTACTAATGGAAGGAAAAGACGATGACAGGAATAAGGGCAAGATGGGGAGGAACTGAAGAGATACATTGTAAGATAAAATTAACATATCGAGTTTCCAAAAATTCCAGTGATGCACCCGCACATTAGCAACAAGTCTCCTGCTTCCACATTCTGAGACTTTAGTTCATTATCTCGTATCATTTCAATTCTCTCAACCTAAATGAAAAACGTGAGAGGCCTCTTTCTTTGTGTTTAATATAACACATGCTTTGTACCTGTCATTGCTCTATGTACACTTTCATACCACACAAAACTGAAAATAACTTGATTTATGCATCCTCCAGATTTTTCACTGGATCCATAAAAAGGAAATACAAATTAAATATACAAATTGGGCTAAACAGTATTTTAAAAAGACGATAAATATGACTAACAAAATGGAATGTTACTACAGTTTAGTAACTATGAAACATATTACTTATTACTGTAACTTCAAACAGATTTTTATAGACTTTCAAAATGGCTACTGTGGGGCTTCCCTGGTGGCACAGTGGTTGAGAGTCCGCCTGCCGATGCAGGGGACACGGGTTCGTGCCCCGCTCCGGGAAGATCCCACATGCCGCGGAGCAGCTGGGCCGGTAAGCCATGGCCGCTGAGCCTGCGCGTCCGGAGCCTGTGCTCCGCAACGGGAGAGGCCGCAACGGTGAGAGGCCTGTGTACCACCAAAAAAAAAAAAAAGGAAACTCATGAACACCGATCCTTTCAAATTATTTCCCTGAGTGCTCCAATTACAAAAAATAGGCTGTTATATTTCTTTACTTCTGAAATTTCTTCTATTTTCTTATATTTTTCGTATCCTTACTATATTTCTATTTTCACTTCATGTAAAGGTGCAATCCATGGGTCTAATTTTGGCCTCCACGCACAAAAAGGCAGGCAAAACTATAATCATATCGTGTATACCCATGAATGTTAGGAGGCAGGTATTAGGGTGTGAGAATCTGAAATTTCACTGTATTTTTATTATAGGCACCGAAATAATCTAGGATACACCATGGAATGATAGCTAAATGCAAATTATGAATATACATTTTCAAAACTGTAAGTTGTTTGAGTCTAACATGGAAAGAGATTGTTATAGATGCCATTCAACCCAAACAGCCAAATAATGTATTATTAGTGTTCATCTATTCTGTCACTCCCCAGGTTCTCAAATTTATATATTGTATCTTAAAATTGTGTCCTAGTTTTTCTAGGTTACACGGATATGAATAAACCCCACCTAAAGAAGTAGGTCCTTTTTTTTTTCTTTTTTGGCCGTGCAGTACAGCTTGTGGGATCTTGGTTCCCTGACCAGGGACTGAACCTGGGTCCTTGGCAGTGAGAGTGCGGAGTCCTAACCACTGGACCGCCAGGGAATTCCCAAGAAGTAGCTCCTTTCATCTTACTGATCCCTTTCCTGAGACCATCATGGTGACAAATGAAAAGCATGTAATGAAACTATGACATCAACAGGTTTCTAACTTCAGGTTGCAGGTCATCAACAATAATGCAGCCTTTTCAAGAAACCTCAAATAACTGAATAAAAAATTTTCACAAACTGAAGATAATTAAACTTTCCCACAGATGTCCTTTCTCTATTGGCAGATTTAGTTCCCCCAGTATAAATTTTCTTATGTGTAAGTCGACTGACAGCACTGGTTGAACACTTTATCACCTTTGTTACATTTGTAATGTTTCTTTCCGGTATGAATTCTTTGTGGTGTATCCTGAGGTCACTGCTTAAAGGCCTTGACACACTTGTACAGTTTTTATCTTATGTGAATTCATTCATGACCACAAAGGTACACATTTCTGACAAAGCTGGTCACTGTCATTACATTTGGAAGGTTTCTCTCTAGTAAGAATTCTGTTATGTTCCACAAGCCTGGTTGCAAGCTCTGCCACATACTTAAGGTTTTATATTTCTCTCCTTGATGGAGTCTCTGATTTTAAGGCTTGACCACCTGCATAAGTTTTATCTCAATCCTTATATTCTTTCTACTATGAATTCTCCAATGATCCCCAAAGCTTCAGCTTTTAATAAAAGCACTGCCACATGTATCAGCTTTATAATGTTTCTTTTCTGTATGTATTTTCTGATGCCTAGCAAGGTTTGTAAATTGGGTAAAAGCTCTGCCACACTCATGACATTTGTAAGGTTTCTCACCAGTATGTATTATCTTATGTCGATTAAGATGTGAACTATCTGTAAAGGCTTTGCCACACTCATTACATTTATGAGATTTCTCTCCAATATGAGTTCTCTTGTGACGCCAAAGCTGTGAATTCTGGACAAAAGCCTTATCGCATTCATTACATTTATAAGGTCTTTCTCCTCTATGAATCCTCTGATGTGCCGCAAGGCTTGAGTGCTGGGTAAAAGCCTTGCCACATAAATTGCATTTGAGTTCTCCAGTGTGAGTTCTCTCATGACCCCAAAGCTGTGAATGCTGCATCAAAGCCTTGACACACACACTACATTTATTTGTTTTCTTTCCGGTATGCCTTCTCTGATGCCTACTAAGACTTGAAATTTGGGTAAAAGCCCTGCCACACTCATCACATTTGTACGGTTTCTCTCCAGTATGGATTGTCTTATGCTGAGTAAGATTTGAATGTTTTGTAAAGGCTTTGCCACACTCAACACATATATAAGGTTTCTCTCCAGTATGGATTCTCATGTGCTGGGTAAGGATTGACCGCACGGGAAAGGCTTTGCCGCACTCATTACATTTGTAAGGTTTCTCGCCAGTATGAATTTTCTCATGAATCCAAAGGAGTGAACGTTGAATAAATGACCTCCCACACTCTTGACACTTGTAAGGTTTCTCCCCAGTGTGCAGCCTCTGATGACTTGCAAGGACTGAATTTCGACTAAAGACCTTGCCACACACATCACATTTGTATGGTTTCTCTCCTGTGTGGATTATCCGATGGTTCCTTAGGGCTGAGTGCACACTGAAGGCTTTGCCACACTCATTACATCTGTAAGGTTTCTCTCCAGTATGGATTATCTTATGTTGCGTAAGATTTGAATGCTTCCTAAAGGCCTTTCCACACTCAACACATAGGTAAGGCTTCTCTCCAGTATGGATCCTCTTATGCTGAGTAAGGCTTGAATGCTTCCTAAAGGCTTTGCCACACTCATTACATGTGTAAGATTTCTCTCCAAAATGCACCGTCTGATGACTTCCAAGGATTGATTTTCGACTGAAGACCTTGCCACACACATCACATTCATATGCCCTCTCTCTTGTATGGATGACCTGATGTCGAGTGAGGTTTGAGCGCTGGTTAAAGGCCTTGCCACACTCTTTACATTTGTAAGGTCTCTCTCCAGTATGAATTCTCTGATGACACGCAAGGTGTGAATTTCGACTAAACACCTTACCACATACATCACAATTATATGGTTTCTCTCCTGTGTGGATTAACTGATGTCTACTGAGGTTTGAGCCATAAGGAAAGGTTTTGCCACACTCACTACATTTGTAAGGTTTTTCCTTGTATGCTTTCTGGTCTTGTGTCAGTACTGAAGGATGCATAAAGTCACTCTTATATGTATTAGAAATGTTGGTTTGGACAATAGGAGAAATTGTCTGAAGTGGTAAAAATGAGGTACTACTCTTGATACTCTTGTCAGCCTGATTAAATTGATCAAATTTCTCTTCACTTTTAAATATATGCAGTTCATCCCGAAAACTTAATGTAAGCTTATTTTCAATAAGTTTGTTTCCAGTATCCCTTCCACCATGTTGATTTTTTCTGTCAGTGAGATTTTCACTATGGGTTATAGGCATTCCTTTGTAATTTCTTTCATCATCTCTCCACTGACACTCAAACACATGCATGTTTTCCTGGATCTCCCTGAAGTAAAAATCTCTGATTTCATGGCTTTCATGTCTTCCCAACGTCACTGTTTGGAATACTTCTCCTGTGTCACTGTTCGCTTTTGGTTTTAATTTCTTGATCACATGTATATGAGAGACAGCTACAAGATATAAAGAAACATAGGTATCCTATTAATTACAGATCGTAAATAAATGTTTCATGTTGAAAACGTGATATGACGCCAAAGGTAACACTTATCCTGAACAGAGTTATAAAACTTCCCAACCATGATCTTCAAAATTTTTGACACACTAAAGAAATAGGATCCTTTATTAATGAAAGAATAATCACATGTAATTCAAATTAATTTTAGAGTAGCCTAGTCAAACACCCTATGACAAAAACACTCACATTGTGCAAACTTAGCTCTCGAAGAAAGGGTATTTTCCACCATGACCACAAAGATCACATACCTGTTGGCAGTAAACATACTGCTGTCTCATAACTGAGGAGAAAAACCCATAATATATATTTTATGCGTAATTATTGTACATAAATAAGTACTAAAGGACAATGTACTGTAATGGTAAATAATCCAAAACAAGCTTATCTAATGAATAATCTAAATAACTCGCCGTTTAGAAATCACAAAACCATTGCAGCATTGAGAAAATAAATCAATAAAACAATTTATAAGAAAACAAAATATTTATCTTAATACACATTATAAATCCACATGTCCCCATTGAGAACAGGCATTTTACAGCATTAATAAGTGGTGCGTGTCAGATATATTGCATAATACATGCTGAAAAAACATCATCTATAAATCACAATATAAATTGGTAAATATTCTAGTAAATCATGATAAAGCCAGCATAAATAATAAGTCACCATATTATAGAAAATTTTACTCTGTGGAACTCTTTTTTTTTTTTTTTTGCAGTACTCGGGCCCCTCACTGTTGTGGCCTCTCCCGTTGCGGAGCACAGGCTCCGGATGCGCAGGCCCAACGGCCATGGCTCACGGGCCCAGCTGCTCCGCGGCATGTGGGATGCCCCGGAACGGGGCATGAACCCGCGTCCCCTGCATTGGCAGGCGGACTCCCAACCGCTGCGCCACCAGGGAAGCCCTACTCTGTGGAACTCTTAACATTCCCCCTTTAGAATAAAGAAAGGACTTCTATTCTAGAAGGAGCACACAATATGAGAACTGGGAGTTATGTTGAAATCACTGACTCATGCAATATCATGTCAGGAAAATACATAACATTATAAAGAAGAGCTGGAGAAAGAAGTCAGAAGTCACAGTTATGATTTCATGACTGCAGTTATATCAATTAATTGAGGAATTCCCTCTCTATGCAGTGCCCTTTAATTATCCTGTTCACTGGCACCAAACTATATGTGATACAGAGTAATGTGCTTTGAAAATTTACTAATTAAGGTCAGAGACAACATTGTTGAGAATATACTGCAAAATAAAAACATACAAGGTGTATTGCAGACAAAGGGATATCTCATAATAAATATGACAGCAAGTTGACATATCTTATTACAGAAAAGTAACTTTTTGAGTCTTTACTGTAAAACATACAATATTCTAAGCCATCTAAAAACACTAATTTGGGGACTTCCCTGGTGGCGCAGTGGATAAGACTTCACGTTCCCAGTGCAGGGGGCCCGGGTTCAACCGCTGGTCAGGGAACAAGATCCCACATGCATGCCGCAACTAGGAGTTCACATGCCACAACTAAGGAGCTGGTGAGCTGCAACTAAGGAGCCCGCCTGCTGCAACTAAGACCCCACACAACCTAATAAAAAAAACCAAAAACAAAAAAACCACTAATTTGTTTTAAGGCTTGAGGTAAATCACCACTATTTTTAAAATAAGGACAGCAGATTCACAGGGTTTATGTACCTAACACAAATTTACACAGAAAGTGACAGAAGCAAGATTTGAACCTGTACCTACAGAATCAGACGTGTTCTTAAGCATGACTGGCCACTCAGGCAGTACAGATTACAGAATATTACAACGAATACCAGGAGCTTAGAAAGAAATACTTCAAGGGAGATATAGGAACTCAGCTGTGTCACTGTAACAGTGTGACTCGGCCACTCCTCCTGGAATTTGCTTTTGAGTCCTCATCCCTGTACATTCTGATTCAGGTCCTGTCTGGAGAAAGTTGTTCAGTGGATAAATAGGGGTCATTTTTTACAGTGTGAGTAATGCAGGGGTAGGGTGGGTGGGTAAAGGAGTGTTGTGGAAATCGGGGAGTTCCAGAGTACAGACTTAATAACTCTAGGAAATAACAGTGTATTCCATCCAAGTCAAGATACCTGGTGAGAAAGGTCAGGTCTGAGGAAGGGCAAGAGTGGAGGGCAGGGAGTAAAAAACACGTGGGTGCACAGCTTGTGTCTGCATGTCTGTGGGTCTACAACCATACAAGGGTGACTAAAATACTGAGCTCGGAGGAAAAGAAGAACTGACAAGGAGCACAATGCTGTCCCAGTTTTAACTAATGTAATTATATACAGACTATGGGGCAAAAATGGAAGAGCAGGTTTACACCTATATCAATACATGCTGTGAAATTTGTTAAACTGAGCATCATGCGTTCCATTTCCAGGCATGTATTCAACACACAATGATATTCCAGGATATGTGCAAGTATGGGAGAAGAATAAGGAAATGGCCATCAAGAGGAGATGGATGTGTTTACTCTGTACACACACATGCAGGTACAATAAAATGTTATCAATGGTACAGCAAAATAGGGGGATCTTGATTTTAAAATGATGATCTCCTGGCTGGGTGGGCAGAGAGTTTGTCTGGAGAAACCAAGATAGCAGGAGGTGTTTGCTAAGGTCTGAGCATTTTAAGATATGATAATGTTAGTTTTTTTTTTTAAAAAGAATTTTATTAAATAAAACACTACTTATATAAAATCTTTTAAAAAGAAATCTAAGACTGTTTGGTATTAAAAATAATAGTGTCCCTTTTCCTGGGGTCTCTAATTACTTGAACTCATATCCTGGATCTCTTAACATAATCTCCGCCATATAAAAGGCATGAGGAGTGATGTCAGCAAGATGGTAAGACCAATAAACTCAAGGCAATGATTACCCTATGGAGACACCCAGTTAATAACAATATACAACCAAAGGGGAAAAAAAATCCTTTGGGAAAACTCTGGAAACCAGTAATAAAGCTGCAGCACTCAAACAAATGACTACCCCCAAAACACTGAACCAAAAAGTGTCAGAAAGATCATGACGATTTGCTAGCCTTTGACTCACTCACTCCCCAGCACATTGCTGTGAGAATGAACAGGAGAAAGCCTCCCAAAACCCAGATCTGCCCTCAGGAGGAAATGCAAATCAAAACCACAGTGAGATATCACCTCACACCCCTCAGATGCTTTACCATCAAAAAAGACAAGAGATAACAAGTGTTGAGCAGAACGTGGAAAAAAGGGATCGCTTCTGGGAAGAATGTAAACTGTTGCAGCCACTATGGAAAACAGTATATAATTTCCTCAAAATATTAAAAAAAAAAACACCCCGCTATCATATAATGCAGCAATTCCACTGCTGGGTATATATCGAACAAAATAAGATCGCTGTCTTAAAAAGATACCTGCACTCCCATATTCATTACAGCAGTATTCACTACACCAACACATAGAAACAACCTAAGTGTCCAAAAGATGAATGGATAAAAAAAATCTAGTAGACATACACAATGCAATATTATTTAGCCACAGAAAAGAAGGAAATTCTGCTATTTGTACCAACATGGATGGATGTTGAGAGTATATGCTCAGTAAAATAAGTCACACATAAAAACTAATACTGAAGGATCTCACTTATAGGTGGAATATATATATATATATATATAGAAGAACAAAAAAGACCAAAGCTAGCAGAAGTAGAAAAAAGTAGATCAGAGATAAATGAAATAGAGAATAAAAACTACAGAAAACCACAACCACAACTGGGAGGAAGCTTCCCAAATTCCAGCTCCTTCCTTAGGAGGAAATGCAAATCAAAACCACAGTAAGCTATCATCCCACACCTGGTAGAATGGCTATCATCAAAATGTCAAGAGATAATAAGGGGAGGTGAGGATGTGTTGAAAAGGGAACCCAGTGCAATGCTGGTGGGAATGTAAATTGGTGCAGCCACCATGGAAAAGAGTATGGAGCGTTCCTCAAAATATTAAAAAACAAACAAACAAAAAAAGAATGAAACAGGAGGGAAGGAGGCAGGGCACAACCTCTGAAAGAATGACAAAGCCTGAGGACATGACATAAACTGATTAGAACCAAATGGATCCAAGATGACTGACAAGTCAACTTTTTCCACTAGACCTTGAGCCTCAGTATACGCTCACATCAGCAAGCTAAATGACACACCCACAGGCGCCATGACAGTTCCAACACCGACCATAAGGATCAAAAAGTGGGCAGTGGCCCAATTCCTGGAAATCCCCGCCTCTTCCTAAAATAGCTGGAATACTTCTCCCACTCATTAGCCTATGAAATTACCCGCTCCTCTAAAATTACCCGCTCCTATAAAAACTGACAACCCTATACCCTGGAGCTTTTCTTATCTTCTGAGACAGCCCACACTCTGTCTGAGGAGTGTGTTTCTCTCTAAATAAATCCACTTCTTACCAATCACTTTGTCTCTCACTGAATTCTTTCTGCCATGAGACATCAAGAACCTGAGCTTCATTAAGTCCTGAAACCAGGTGTGTGATCTCAGTTGGAAGACTGTGGGTTTTGGCCGTGTTCGAGTCCTGGCACGTGGGTTCAAGTCCCAAACTGAGGTGCATGGTTTCACTCCCATAGGATATAGCAATCCCACTTCTGGATACATACTGAAAGGAAGTGAAATCACTACCTCAGATATCTGCCCCCCATGCTGTTGCAGCATGATTTACAATAGCCAAGACATGGAAATAACCTAAGTGTCCAACAGTATGTAAATAAATTTTAAAATGTTACACACACAATGGAATATTATTCAGCAATAAAAAAATTAAGTAGTAAATCCTGCTACCTGTACCAGCATGGACAGACCTTCAGGGCATTATTCCAAGTCAAGTAAGTCAGGAGAGAAACACAAATACAGTATGACCTCAATTATATCA